TTAATATAGCCAATACCTAAGCAATAATATTCACCAAATACTGATTTTGATATAGTAGCTTTATTTTCTTGAATATACATTAAGATAAATGCTACCTAAAGTCATCTCATATACCATCAGCAGTATGAGTACTGGTCTTTTAGGTAATGCTGCTAACGTGCATTAATTATACCTGTGCTTCACCTTCATTTAATTCTAAATTGCGTTATATTTGTTACTGCTCACTGTTCTTTTTCTTCCCTTTACCAGTGATCTTGTTTCCTTTATTTCTCTACCATGTGGCCAGTTATAAGACTTGTCCTTAGTAGTAATTGAGTACATTTTTTGATGTTGAAATGAAATAACATTGATCTTCTTTCATTGTTATTTAGATACTTGGTTGGCATAAGAAATATTATCAGTATTCACTCCCTATGCCCCCTATGTGTGAGCCTGAAATTCTCTTTCTGGTTCATTTACCAAACCTGGGGACCATGATTGCATTCTAACTCAGTATATGTCAATACCAAGAAAATTTAGAAGAAATTTACTTTTAGATTACTAATAAACCAGGAAATAAAATATAGCCTGGGCTGTGAATTTGTGAAACAAGAAAATTATGGATAGATTGGGTGAAGTGTGATATGATAACAGAGGATAAAGGATAGTCAAGCAGGGATTGATCCAAGTGTTAAATGCTGTTGAGAAATAAAATATGATAAAAATATAGACTAGCCATTGGGTTAAGTAATAGCAAATTATTGGTGACCATGACAGGAAAAGAAACAGAGTAGTGGAATTATAAACCAAATGTCAGTGGGTTTGGGGGAAAATTCAAAGTGAGGAGATGGGGCAGTGAATATCAACAATTTTTTTCATGAGTTTGACTGAATAGAAAGAGAGAGACAAATCATCAAGGCATATGGGTTAATGGAGGATTTTTTTTTCTTGTGAATGGGACAATTTTGAGTACACTTACAATAATGTAAACTAGCCAGTAGAGTTCCTGAGGTTGAGAGGAAGTTTGGATTGAGAGCATATTTAAAAGGTCATGGATTCTAAACTATTAGGTTCACACATACAAAATTGATATTTGGTTAGGTCAAAAGTTGAACCATTTTCATATGGTTCAACCTAAAAGGTTGAAGAACTTGGACAAACTGTAGGAATCCTCTAAAGAGCATGAATGGATATAGGTAAGTTTGTTGGTTCCATGTCAGGAATTTGAAGGAATTCTCATCTAATAGATCAGTCACTTTATCTCTTTAAAGTAGTTGAAACACAGGAGGACTCATGGTGAGAACTGAAACTTTGAGGAGGCTAGAGAAGTTGAAAATAATCGTTGTGGAAAATTAGAATATTAATTAAGGTTATATAGTGGGAACAGTGGGTAAGGGTTGAGAACTCAAACTGGCACTTCCAGCACATTTGTGAGATTTTTCTGTAGCATTCTTCAGTGGTCTGGGCAGGTTAGAATCATTGTTCAGATAGTTGTGCAGAATTTAGTGGAGGTTAAGACATCATTAAAAATCTGTTGAGCCCGGCCTGGCATGGCTCAGAGGTTGAACGTCGACCTAGGATCCAGGTGATCGGGGTTGGATTCCTGGTCAGGGCACATGCCCGGGTTGTGGGCTCGATCCCCAGTTGGGGGTGTGCAGGAGGCAGCTGATCAATGACTCTCTCATTGATGTTTCTATCTCTCTCTCTCCCCCTCCTTTCCTCTCTCTGAAATCAATAAAGATATATTTTTAAAAAATTAAAAAATAAATAAATAAATAAAAATCTGTTGAAATGATGAACCTAAGGATCACAAAAGAAACAAAGATGAATGTGTGTGTGTGTGTGTGTTTGATGGGGGTGACAACTGCTGGATATGAAGAATTCACAGAGTGGAAGGGCTACTGATTTTTTTCAAATGATGCATTAGAAGATTCTAAGTTTATAAGAAGGAAGGTTAGGATAGTAATGGTTGTCCAAAGTTATGATTCAGAGAGAGTAATTCCAAGTCATGACAAAGTCTAGGGTGTGGACATGAAAGTAATATTTGAAGAGAATTATAGAGATGAAAAGATCAAGGAAATAAATGACTAGCATGCTGAAGATCAACCACATGGGCACTGAAACTACATAGGACAAACATAGGAGTTGGACTGCAGAAGGAGACAGGGAAGCAAGTGTCAGTCTACAGTAAATGAGGGCAGAATCATGGGTCCAGATGACAGCGATGAGGAAGAAAAGAGGGTGGAGAGCAGAACTGTGCGAGCCTTCAAGGAACAAAGCAATTTACAAGGGTGTGGAGAGTAATGGATCGAGTTGGCATTAGGGAGTGAAAGGACAAACACGAAATCTTCAATAATAAGTCTGTAAAAATGCTATGCTCTGAGGGAAAAAACAAACTATTTCAATTTTCTAGGTATATAGGGAATACTCAGAAAAAAAAAGAAGTTTAGAATATAGAGTATTTTGTTAATCAGGAGATGGCATCCCAGAAATTGTGAAAGTGCAGGAGATAATTTATCCTAAGGAAACATTTTACAATTTTGAATGTCTGCAAAAATTATCCAGAGGTATGTTCATTATTAATGTGTTGTTTACAACTTTATCAAGATTGAAAAATAAGAAAATAGGACAGGTTTAAATTAAAGATAATCTATCATAACATTTTCCTGTAAAAATACTTAACCATATATAAAACAGATATGTTTGTATCTTGCTAATCTTATTTTTTTAAATACATGATAGAATACATGATGTGTGTATGATTATATGCATAATGTGTGTATACATGTTCTAATAAAGCTTAAATTACATTTTTAAACTTGGAATTATGCTATTTCAAAGATACTCTTACTTTTTTAAGGGGCCATCTGTCTTTATTTTTTTGTATCTAATTCTAGTCCTGCCTTGTCAGTGCTGAACTCCTAGAGCCCAAGACGCTATTACAGAAAATGAGGACAGCCTCTCATTTAAATGACAAGTTTGGTTTACAAATTAAAATCATTAGGCCCTAATGACTTATTTTATTTTTAATTAAATATTTATTTTATTTTATTTTTTCTTTATTTATTTTTTCACTTGACAGAGTCCTTTTATGCCTATTGTTATCAATCCAAACTTGGTTTTAATAATCAATGTGGGAAATGAAATTCACTAATGGTGTTACTACATGAAAAAGACTCTAGGTGGTGCCAGAGCTGGGGGTGGCTATTTGGGCAAAATGGCAGAAGGTGGTCAAAAGGTACAAACTTCCAATTATAAAATAAATGTCATGGAGATATAATATACAGCATGGTGACTATAGATATTAATGTTGTATTGTACATTTGAAACTTGCCAAGAGAGTAGATCTTAAAAGTTCCTATCACAAGAAAAAAAAATTGTTACTATGTTTGGTGACAGATATTAACTAACTTTCTGTGGTGATCTTTTTACAATATATAAAAATATCGAATCATTGTGTTGTACACCTGAAACGAATGTTATATGTCAATTATATCTTTAAAAGATTCTAATATTTCTGTGCGAGGCAAAGAGAAATGTAAAATTATTCAGAACCTCATTGTAGAAGTGAAGTAATCCAAGGAATCTATTTCACAGTTACTCATATTTTGGAAAGAAAACAAGAATCAAATGTTATGAATGTATTTCTACCTATTTATGTCATGATATCTAAATACAGAGTGGCTTACTAGAAAAGTAAACAAACTATTTAAGTGTAAAAAGAAGTCTTTAAAGGTGGTATGAAATCCAGGGAAGTTAAATGGAGAAATCAAAACAACCAGTAGGTGATGAGTTCTTAGTTGGAAATTAGTTGGTCCCAAATAAATCTGAAGAACAATTAAATGGTTCAACTAATATATATGTGCCAAGCATTTTACTGGATACTGTCACTTACAACAAAGAATAAGGTATATTTTTCTTCACTTTACTCACAAGTAACAAAAACTAATAAAGTTTCATTTGTGTGTTTCAAATGGAGAAAACCCTCTGACTTAATCACACCGAGGCATGGATCATCACTGGGAAGAGCAGAGATTGCTTTCAACAGCACCTCCCCACCATCCCTGCACTCCCACCCCTCACTATCCCTCTGAGCTACAAGGCCAAGGAAAACCAAAGCAAAGCATTATAAAGCAGTCAGACCGATTTATCTATATGGAATGGAACTGGAGACTTTTCACAGATTTTGGACCTGGAGGTGACAATTTTGAAAATCTTGAAAATAGAAAGTAATAGGAATGAAGAGACCTAAATGGTTTCCTGGTCTATTCCCAGATGTAGGTTTTTTCCTTTCCCCAGATTTTTATTTCAGTCTATTTTTCCTGTTTCTCTACCTTTATGTCACTTTCATTTCTATAGAACCCAAGTCTATTAAAATATAAAAACTTTATGATTATTTATTTGCTTCTCACTTTTTCTATTCTTATGTACAGATTGTTCTATTGTTTTTTAAATTTTATTTTAAAAGGCAAAGAATTTCTCAAAGGACATTTAATTTTGGATTTATCTTTTGGAGATTTATTATATTTATTAATTTCAAAATGTATACAAATATCAAATCATCATGTATTGTTAAAATACAATACTTATACAATTTGTGTAATTCCTCTATTTTCAATGCATCAATTAAATGCATAACTTAAAAATATTACAAATAGCATTATATCTTCTAAACTGTGAACTGAGAGTGAGAAGACACTTTCTTCCATGCCCTATCCTTCTACTGCTACAAATTTACAATATTTTACTTTAAGCTCTCTGTTTTTCCTCCCTCTCTGTGATTATCTTATTTTTACATTAAACTTTCCAATTCAAATCCAATCTGTTGAACTTTTAAAATTGTAAATATAAAATTGTTAGCATGGTTTCCTGAAATAAAAATTATTAGCATTACCATGTAACTATTTTCTCCAACAACAGTAGGAAAAAAACTATTAAATTCCCAATTCAGAATAATTGCCTGAATTGGAAATCACAATCTGAAGTGAATCTTTTTAAACATGAAATAAATTTAAACTTACTGATACATCATACACCGTTGAGAATGCAAACTCCTCCACCTCCGTGCTGCTTTGTGATTTCTCGTCAAATGAGTAGCATCTTGGCATTCTTTCAGACTTGAAAGCTGACTAAAGAAAAAATGCTTAAGGATTTAAAATAAACAAGTTTGACAAGTTGGGATGGGTAAACTTTAACCAATACTCTGTTTTGAGGTGAAGAATCACTTGATAAATCTTTATTGCAGGGAAAATTTCCTGGTTCTGGCTAATTAAGTGAGAAACAATACCGTGTTAAAAATCTAAGCAACACCCTTGAATACCTTGCGTGGTTTGTGTTTGACTTTCCAGAGGTGGCACTCTTTGTCTGAGTCAGGACAAATCTGGTCTTCAGGACTGCCATTCATCTTTCAGAGGCAAGATCGGAAGTTTTCATAAAGCATTTGACACCCTTGACTTGCCTTTCTTAGTGCAATGGTACATGTGCTCATTACCTCTGGCTCGGTAATTCATTTGCATCTACTCTAACGGGGAATCTGGCTTGAAGGAGGGAAATGAAAATATATTTGTGCCAAGTGCCATTTTAAAGGGCTTCAGTGCTGATTGTCTCCTCTCCCTGTATTCTCCTTTGTAGTCAGATCGGTGTCCACCTTCACTGACTCTGAGTTTTCTGTTGATACAGTTCTTTCCTTCACATTGTGTCTTTGCCCACATGCCTAAAATATCATTTCCCTTCTTTATAGCACAATTCTCAATTCCAAGTCCACTTTACTGTAAGATTCAAGTCATTTAATCAGACTGTCTACACAGGGTACATAGACTCTGAAGAGAACTCCTCCAGGATATTTCCATTCAACTTCCCAGCTCTCATAGTAGTTGAACAACACTTAACCCATGCTTTTCCTTCAGGCAGGAATCTAGTTTTAGTTTTGCTTACTTTCAGATTTATAGACCCATTTCTCCTATTAGATAGTGAAACATTTGAGGCCAGAAACTGTGATGTCTTTTACCAGCACCTCTGCCAACAGTACTTAACTGAGTCTTTCTTTCAGCCTACTTGAAAATCATTCATATTCAGATTCAGCCCCTCTTTTGTTTAAAAAAATTTTTTTTGGCCAAAATAGGAATATATAATTACAATTAATAAATGAACATGTAAAAAATGTTTGAATTGTCTAATAAATAAAATTACATATCTTTGTCAATTTTCTATTCATGTATAACAAATTACGACAAACTTAGCCACTTAAAACAACAACCATTTATTACCTATTTTTACTTTGTAGGTCAGAAGTCTGGGTGAGCTCAACTTTGTTCTCTGTTTAGTGTCTCAAAGGCTGAAACTAAGGTGTGGACTCATTTGGGTTCCTATCTGGAGGCTGTTGTGAATAATCACTTCCCAGCTCATTCAGGCTGTTGGAAGAATTAAGTTCTTTGCAGAAAGACTAAGGTTCCTGCTTCTTTGTTGCTGTCAGGCTTCTAAGGGCTACCTGCATTCCTCGATACATGGTTCCCTCCATCTTCAAGACGACAATACTGCATCTTCTCACACTTAGAATCTCTGACTTTCCTGCTACCAGAGAGAGAAAATTCTCTACTTCTAAAGGATTCTACATCTAAAAAATTAGATAAGACCAACCTGGAAAATCTCCTTTTTGATTAACTCAAGGACAACTGATGAGTAACCTTAATCACACCTACAAAATTTCTTTTGTGATGTAACATAATCATGGGAATGGTATCTCATTGTATTCACAGTGAGATAAAGGCAGAAATTTAGAATTTTATAGTTGAGACTACCACAATACTAACAAAGTATTGTTTTCTATTTTTACACTAGATGTTTAATAATGTTAGTAGATTTTAGTAAAATTCAACATTCAGATAGTCTGCGGATATGGTCAATTGGTACAACAGTTTCAGAAAACAAACTTGCTGAAGTGCTAAGAAGGGAAGAGCTTCTGTGCCAAGGGGACTCTTTTGTGCATGAGATATCACAGTGTGTTTAAAGCACTAGAAGTACTTTTTAAAACACTAGAATGAAGACTGGCAAAAGGGAGGAATTCAAGGCAGGAGAGTAAAATGGAAATAGGAAGCAGATAACCATGACATTTTTGTACGGCAAGAAAATGGGTTTGTCTTTACCCTATAGGTCAAAGGTTCGTGTGTGTGTGTGTGTGTGTGTGTGTGTGTGTGTGTGTGTGTGCGCGTGCGCCTGGTTCATGGCCATCTTTGGTATTTGGTGAAGACTACTGGCCCCTTCTCATAATCATGTTTTTTAAATTCATGAAATAGAATATGTAGAAATATACAGAAACCAACACATGGCAATATGGTTATCAAAATATTTTTAAATTTTGTGACTTAGTAGTAAGTATGCTTCTCTATTAACATTAAGTAACATCAGATAGCAATGAATCTAATAACATAATTTCAGAGTTGTGCTAAGTGTAAATATATTTTGATACAAATGTAACTTAAATAAAATAAAAATACCTATGATTTCTCTTGGTGACAAAATCAGTAATTCAGCTTATGTTACTAGGTTTTTCTGCCTATTTTATAATGGGATGAAATAGCAAATTTTTTTCAAAAGTTAGTGAAAATAAAGATGATTTTTTTTTTAATCAAAGTTGTTGGGCTCTAGATTAAGTATCTCTTCTGTAAAAATGAATAAATTAGAGGTATTTGAAACAGGTTCAGGAGAATGGAGTAGAGGACATCAAGATTAGAGAAGGAAGATCATTTTGAGGTTCTTTCAGCAGTCCAGACTGGTGATGTTGGGAGTGGAATAGAAGTGAGTTCAAAGAATTGAAGCTAGGTGTGGTCCATCCACTTAGATATTGAAATTGACCACAATGAAGATAGGAGTTAGGTAGAGAGGTCTATTTTGAGTAAGTGACTAGTGCCTCAATAAATGTGGGGATTGATCAAGAGGCTGGCAGTAATTAGGAGGGGCAATGTGTGGTATAGCTATAGGCATGAACCTGAGCACTAAAATAGTATATGTTTTATTCTAGTGTGCAACAGTAATTGTTGGGAGACTACATAAGTATTTGGAAGCTTTTATTTGGGAGTTGGAAGAATTCTGACTCAATATCAGAACCAGGGAGAAAGAGCAGCCACTTGAGAGGGCTACAGTGAAGGGATCTTTGAGACGTGGATATCAGACTTTAGTAAGATGATGGAGCATTCTGTGAACAGACTGAAGGCATAGGAACATTTTAATAAAAGGAAGCAAGGAGGACTCAGTGGAACCAAGTGAGAAAGAGGGTAGTAGAGAGATGTTAAACCAGTGGGGCAGACAAAAAGCAGTATGGGGAGTAACCATAGTCATTGCAGGAAAGAAGCAAACTGGAGGAAAGTATAGGTGATAACAGAGGGTCTTTATTTGGTGAAATGCTAGAGGGTTCATGGAGCACAGAAGAGGGGATGCCATACTTTATGGTTTATGACCCTGGTATTAAATTTAGTTCATATTAGGCTAGCCTAGTGTTCTGGGCACAGTCTATGTAGTATAACTATTTGATGTATCAAGTCAAAGATAGTCATTAAAAAGGATTGTTATTATATTATATACACACACATGGCTGCTGAAAAATATCTAACATAATCTCAGATGTGATTATGAAAATATCTAACATAATCATATATGTGATTATGTCAATGTTGTAAAATATATAAATGCATATATACAAGGATTGAAGATAAAAAATAAAAATAATTGTGTTAAGTTGATACAATTGTGTGCCCTCCCTCCTTCTGAAAACTTTTTTTTTTTTTTAAATATATCTTTATTGATTTCAGAGAGAGGAAAGGAGAGGGAGAGAGAGCGATAGAAACATCAATGATGAGAGAGTCATTGATCGAGCCCACAACCCGGGCATGTGCCCTGACCGGGAATCGAACCCCGATCGCCTGGATCCTAGGTTGACGCTCAACCGCTGAGCCACGCCCAGCCAGGCTGAAAACTTTTTTTAAGGGGGGATAAATCAGTCATCCATTTCCTCTACTTAAAAAAAAAAATTACTTTTATTCTGTGATCCAACTGTTTTTTTATGAAACTTTTGTCAAGTAGCTGTGGCTTAATATTTGTCTTTCCAATGGCTTCTTTTTTACTTTTAGATTCTATTTGTTTTCCCTCTCCAATTTACAATTCTCCTTTTGTTCACAGTTGCACCTCAGCCTGTTCATTCAACCGCCTAACCCTCATTCCCTAAGGACCGTCACTCATAGGACAAACACTAGTTGCTTTAAAAAATTATTCCCCAAATTCTGTAATTTCCACTTAGGTCTAAATAGGAAGAAACAAGTTTGAAGTTCAACAAAAGGCACTTGTTTTGAATACAGACAAAAGGCAGTTATCAAAACCATTAGAAAGGGAATCCTAGGCATTTATGAAATTTCTCTTCCTGGAAATATTTGAAAGGTGGGCATCCAAACATCTTTTAGGGAGAATACCTAGGTTTCGAAGTGGAGAAAAAGAAGACCTAACAGGATAATATTTTTATCTACAAGACTAGATTTTTAAGTAAAAGTTGGGACACAGAATCTGACTAGGGTACAAAATCTATAAAAATGGAACTTCACAGGAAATCCATGACATCTGGATAGCATGCTCACTATTGGATAGGTCTGTGACTTAAGTTTAAAATCTTTAATAATTCAGAATATAAGTTAAAATATTACCAAGCTGAGCCTTTAAAATATACTTTAAATGCTGACTTTGGACTGCTTTTGATATTTTCCACTGTCAGCTACAGAATAGCTAGCTCTAAGAATGTTCCTAGTAGATTGATTACAGAGTTCTCCCAGATGCTATAGTAAAATATGCTTTAAATAAAATGAATTTGAATTATATTGATTCTTAAAGCCATCAAATGAACAATAACTAATTTGATTTGCCTGGTATTTTTTTGTTTGTAGTAAATTAGCATTAGCCACATGAGCTATATTAAATATTATTTCTTTCAAGAAAATACTAAATATGATTTCAACAAAACAGTAGTATTTTCAAAATGCACAAAGCAACACTCTGGATAAATGAAAATACTAACACTATGAAAACGTAATGACAGTATTAGTGCGGGGACAGCATCGGCTGAGCTGGCATCAGTTTACAGGAACATATTTGCACTTTGAACAGGTGTGAAACATTGTCTGGCTTTTGGACTTCATTATTCAACAGGAAAGCCTCACGACATCATGAGGTATACAGATTTGTTTTCCATTCGACGGACTGAGGGCAGTTTAGAGCAAAAGAATACTTCTCTTTGAAATTGTGTGATGTGACTGCATTTCTCTCATTTCTTATTAGTCATAGTTAAAACTTTCAGGCAAGGAAAATATGGATACCTTTGAAAGAAATTTCATTCTAAGCATTTACAGAAGCAACTTAATCAAAACT